CAGCCGGGAGGGCGCGCCCGCCCGCCCGCCGGCCGCCACACCGTCGGGCGCCCCGGGCTCCCTGGCCAAGCTCCAGCCGCGCCACTGGAGCCGCATCGGGGCAGGAGCGCGCTCGCCTTCCCCTCGCGTCTGAGCTGCAGCCGGGGCAGCCGGGGCCGAGGGGGGACCCCGACGGGGGGACCCCGGCCCGCACCCCCGCTCCCTGGGGGAGCAGTAACCCGCCCGACAAGGGAAACGGCGGCGCTCGCACTTGCGCCTCCCCTAAACGTCTGTGTCCCCAAACTTGTGCCCAGCCCGGACGCCTACGGGGTGCCCGATTCAATCCCGACCTCGATTTCTGTTAATTCGTTTTAGCTAATGATTGCCAGGAGAACAATCTGAGCGGTATTTGTAAACGAAAGGAGAGTCGATGGGTAGTTCAGGAGACGCTGAACATCCCGAGGTTCCCCCCAACCTGTAAGGTACATTATTTCCCCAGATGTCTCGACGAACCGAAATGATTTGTCACGTTACAAGAGAGTGGAAAGTTGGGTAAGTTTCTATATAGATGCCACACTGCAAATGCCATAAATCTGCACCCAAGAAAGCATCTTACTTAAAAATCGAGAATAATTTCTCATTTCTGGAAGAAACCAATGGGCTGAATAATGAAACGTTGCAGTCATAATTTTCTGTACAAATAATTAGTGTTCAAACTCGGAGCATTTCGGTCTCCTGAAATGTATTCTTAATGAAGTGATGTTCAGAGCTGTCATTAAAAATGCAGGGCTGGAAGATCAAAGTACAATATTTATTTTAGAAATTTGTTTCAGCTATCAGGAGATACAGGTATCAAGGCCAAATGTCAATTCAGTTACACAAAGCACCGTTTCCATGAGAAATGGGCTGCCGCTACCTCCTAGCGTAAAGCGAAGAGACACCAGAGATGAGGAGCAGCGCGGGCGGGGGCTCCCGGCGGCGCGGCCGGGGCCAGGGGCCGCTCCGAGAGCGGCGCGGACAAGCACACGCCGGCGGGCGGCGCCCTGCCGCAGCCCCGCTTCGGCCCGCCGACCAAGGGGGACGGTCCCCACCGGCGGG